GGGGGGGAGGAGGCCTACCTTCATTAAGGAAATACCGCAGATACTTGACTTCGCGAAGTCTTTCGATCGTGATGGTGTCTGCACTCTCCGTCGGGGGAAACGCCCGGATGATCTCCTCGCGGAGTCGGGTCCAGACCCTCGGATGCCGTGCCAGATAGAAGAACGACGAGCTGAGCAGGCTGGCGGTCGTGTCCCGGCCTGCCAGGAGGATGTTGAGCATCTGGTCGCGCAGGACCTTGCGATCCTGCGTGTCTCTCGCCACGGCTTCGAGGAAGACATATCTTTTGTTGTCACTGCCACTCGAGTCCTTTTTCTCCAGCTGCTGGCTTTTCTTGATCGCCTGGTCGACGTAGTAGTCGACCACCTCGTGCACCAGCTTCACTGCCTGCCGGAATTTCGGCGGGTTGATCAGCCAGTACAGTGCCTGGGCCCGTCCCCGGTCAACCAGGTACTCCTGCGCCAGATTGAAGGCATGCGCGAAGCCCTCCTCGCCACCGCAATTGGCCAAGGGGCCCGAGCCGGCGACGAAGTTTGGTGACAGCGAATGCGTCGACTCGCCAAACAAGAACTCTGTCGCCGAGTCCAGGGTCAGCCGGAAGAGGAGTTCTTGGATATCGAACGCGGTCCGATCTTTGGGGAGGGCAGCCAAGAAGTGGTCGACATGGCTGCTCAGCATGCCGATATCTGCCACCTAAATCTCCTTCAGGACTTGTTTCGCTGTCTTCTTGTATCAGGGGAAACGTACCTGATCCCTCGTAAACTGCGGGCGCAGCAGCGCTCGCGAATGCGACCAGCCCGCACCGTCCAGCGTGAAAATGCCATCGCCCAGCAGCGGATAGAAGATCTCATGTCTGGTGCCGAGCGCAAAGTCATTGAACTGGGTCGCCAGCATAGCCTTGATATTTTCCGGATCGATGGTGGCGATCTGCGAGTAGCCCAGGATGGTGCGCTCAAAGGTGGTGCCGCAGCGGGCGACGATCTTCTCGATGTGCTGGACCACCTGCTTTCTCTTCGCCGCGCGGACCAGGTCGAAGAAGGCCGGGATGCCGAAGAAAGGCGAGGGCAGCTGCGGCGGCGGACGGCATCCGTGGATTTTGGCCAGGCGGCGACGTCGAAGGGCCCTGAAGATAGACCGGGCGAGCAGGTAGACGACGTATGTCGCCAGGAACGATGCGGCCAGCACGGAATACGACAACGTCATAGTGTATCTGCTTAGGAGTTAAAACAAGATAACATTGCAAGAGGAAAAGACTCAAGGACCTCCATTCATCTTATTAAATTAGAGCGGACGCGTGTCTCATCGGCGAAGCTCGGCAAGTGACCTGTCAGTACTAAGATGCGATTTTACTCGATTAGGAACTTCGTCCGGGGGCGGGGATACAGCTGCATTCCGGACTCCGTGTGGATTACATTTTATTCCTCGTAATGCCCGCATTGGACGTGTAGTAACTACTACTAAGTAGTCAAGACTCAGCATTCATCAGCTTTTAGCGCGCCCCACCGAGTTGCTTGTCACAGTCACATCCATTCAAGACTAAAACATTTCGAACGCCGACAGCCGAATGGTTTGCTGCTACTTGTCGTCCGAAGTCCGAGATTGTGCATCGTCCTGATTATATTTACGCATTATTTATGCATTATTGATACGAAGTCGAACTGAACAGAAGAACGAGCTGGAAGCGAAGACTAGTTATTGTTATTGTTATTGATATTGTTAATTTCTCTGACACGTGCTGATAGAAAAACGTGCTCTGTATTGTGGTCTAAGATCTAATTTTTTTTTAAAAAAAAGCAGATTCAGATAGGTATAGGGGTTCCATTGTTATTGCTCCAAACAGGTAGTACAATAATTCAGTCCAGCCAAGTATCGTCCTAATTTAATCGGACTGAGGTGCTGCCCTGATTCATAATTTAGTCTTGTGCTATGTGGCTATACGGCAGTAACTACATTGAGTGGTTATACTGTACTGTACATAGACAATCCTAACTAGAACAACATGACCACACGTACTGTACAACTGATCACTCCGGTCGGAATGAAACCACCTTGCCAAACGTATCCGCCATCCCCCAAATGCCGTGGCGCAGACAGCTCAGCTGCACAATCTGCGAGTGGTCGACAAAGAGGTTGACGTCGACCCCGAACTCGCGGATGTACCAGTTGTACACTTTGGGGTCGGCCGCCTCGAACATGACCTTCTCCGGGGGCAGCTCCTTCATGATCGTGCTCACCACGTCGGTTCGCCACGACTTCACGTTCTCCGTGATCCCCTCGGATTCGATCATCAGGCGCTCGACGCCCGCGTTGAGGAACTTCTTGCCCATGTTGATCAGCTTGCCTGGGTCAGAGGTACCGATGGCTTCCAGGTCGCTCGCCGCGGTGTCGCCTCCGGCACCGAATTGGATGCCCAGCTCGGGCTTCGCCTTGAGCCCGTACGCGTGTACCTTGTCGACGAGCCGCAGCCAGTCATCGCCCGGGATCGAGAGGAAGCCGGACGATACCTCGATGACGTCGAAGCTGTCGTTGTCCAGTCAGTCTGATGCTGCTGATCGCGGCAGATATGGTGAGTACACACCCAAGATCCTTGCATTTCTTCAGATATTTGTCAAAAACCGACCCGACGTCTGCGTGCGTGAGCAGGTGCTCGGCCCAGCCGCCCTGCATGACGTTAGCACGATGACGTTGGGCACAGACCAATGGATTATGCGAGGTCATACAGTCGATACGTAGACATCGTGCGAATGAGCCAGGTCGATCAGCTCTCGCAATGCATTCTCTTCAAAGAGAGAGAAGGATCCTGCAAGGAGCAAGGACGATTAGCGTCTATATTGGTAGTACCTGATGGATTCTAGACTTGCCTCCCGCGAATTTAAGACCGTCCACATGCGTGCCCATCCTGTCGACAAGATCATCACATCAGGATCTGTTTCCGACAGTATGCTCGAAGTAGTTCATCTTCAGGTCCTTACGTTTCCAGAACATCCGATAGGTACCGCTTTCCCATGACCTAGAAAGACGCGTATTTCCACGTTAGCAGTGATATGTGCCAGGTCCGGTCCTGCTGCAACGTACCGTGTAATATGGCCCCCTAATTTCCGTGACTCCCTTACTCCTCGGCTTCGCAGGCCGGGGATTCGAGCGCGCAAAGCCAAATCCGTCGTCCTTATCCTGAAGGAGGGTGACTCCTTTCTTGTTCTGAGCCGGCGTGGTCGAGAAGGAGCGGGCAGCCGTGACGGCCGGAGCCGCCGCTCGGAGGATCTTCTGGGCTGGGACGGCGTTGGCAGGCTGCTTGAAGAATGATGCAGCCAGCGCGTTGCGGATGGAAGACAACATGGTGATAATTTCCTGTTGAGCCTAGAGAAAGGATGACTGACTAGCAGCAGCAATAATAGACGAGCAAAGAGATTGCCCTTTCACTACGGCTTTTCACCAAGAATATCATTCAAGACAGGATGGCAACAAAGTGTCTTCTCCGTGGATTAATGAATTTATTATCATTTGTTAAACGACCGAATATTCCTGAACTCCTCCACCCCTGCGCGCTGTCCATTGTTTTGGTTTGGATGCTTGTGTTGATTTACGCCAGTTTGACGTAAGTTGTATATATGTACAGTATGTACGCAGTATATACATCTCTGCCTTTGACTACGCCCAGTCTCGACTGACGGACAACGCTCCATCGACCTGTGAATGTGGATTTAGGCAACGACTTTCTGCAGATCGAGCAGGACGAGTACCTACCTATGCAATTCGACGCGTCGCGTCCAGCAAGCAGCGTGAAGTCAGCATGGCGACACATGACATCATATCACGTGTGGATCATCTGATAAGCAGATCATGCCTCAGGCATCAACAGTGGTCAGGCAGCGCAATCTCCAGGCACGAGAAAACTGCTAGACTGCAGCGAATATGGAAAGCCAAATACTTCCTGCAAACAACCGCAAAGAGTAGTTGTGAAAAGGCATAATTATTTATGCGCGCAGTCAAACTATGTAGGAGACGAGAGCCGAGGCCCACAGACAAGATCTACACTTGCGCCCCTCTCATCCGAGGCGGACCTTGTCATATCTCCGTCCCCGTTCTCCTCACGAACGACCTCACTCATATTTCGCTGTACTGTACGGAGTAATTACTATCCGGCTGCATCCGGCTGCTGCCGTGCCCATTGCTCAGAAGCGAGGGGAAATACTGCGGCACTGCCCCTCAGCATCACGACTCGGCCAAGATCAGCTTTGCCTGGTTAGAGCCACGTCGATAATTCCACACCGTTGTTATCGCGTGCTCATCGACATCGGCACTTTGTACCGCCCGGAGATCTTGTTAGCTATTATTACTCCGTACCTGGCCTGGATGTGGGGAATAGTGTTTGTTTTTGACTCCGCTTGATATACGTCATGAACTAACAGCATGCTTTCTCGATCTGGATGCTGAAAGTCTCACCTGCTATGGGCCGAAGTCTTGATGCTACTGCAAGAAGATGCATTTCATTTATCGAAACGGTTTATTGAGGATAGAAGGAACGGTGGGCGATGCCGTGGGATGCCCCAGAGCTTAAGAATTGAAAATATCCCTGGAAGAGTTTGATTTGGTTAATTCAGCAGCTCCAGCTTGTCTACTGCACGAATCAGACGCGTCGCCTTCTTTTCTTTTGTAAGCGCCAAGCCTGATAACCTCCAGCAGGAAGCTCCTAACTCTACTGGCATGCTTATCTGCCAGGACAATTCTATTCTCTTTGCCGCATGTCCTGCTTGATGGCAGTGTTATGGCCGGCTGATATTTGATTCATCTGAAAGGTGCCCTCTGCCGTGGATATCGAACAAGCTGTCGTGGCGACGTGTGATATCCTCCAACGGAGATGCGCCCATCGTGGCAACCAATGGAGCTGCTTACATAGCAGTGCCTACCTCAATTGCTTCCCTTGGCCTTGGTCCACCCATGGATCTACGATGCCCTCGTCCTCATGCCCCTACACTTGGCAAGCTGCCTGGGGAAGCGGACCTCTCGGTGGGAACATTGCGGCGCTACCAAGGGAGCTTCTTGCCAAGCTCTGTGCAGGCATGGCAGAGCTTTTCCATCTTGTTGACCTCCCCCTGACCTCACTCGGTGGGGCATCTGGGCTGGCTTATCCTATCTATCAAGTCCATTGCAATCGCCCTTCGTGGATCCCGGTTCCTCCGGACGAGCCTTTGTCTGCACTGCCCCTGGGATAGGTTGAATCAGACATCGAACTTGGTATTCTCACCAGTTCTTGATGATCTGAACACTGGTTTTCCTGCTCGTGCAAACAATTCTTGCAGAGGACTGCTCAGTCTGCTCTCTGGTTGCTCATTCCATGTTTCCTGCCCTCATCCTAACTTCGTTTGATATACCCTTCATCTGGCGAGCTAGATAGGGTCGAAAAGTCGGATCCCTGTTGTGCCTGGCTGTCGCAAGCGGCCAAAGTAGTCGCCTAGTCAATCATCATGGGGTCAGCAACATTCCTCGAGCCGTTGATGGTCCTCGTCCTCCTTTTCGGAGGGACTTGGATCAACCGCTATACCGATCGTCCTGGCTCTCTGTCCTGCGAGGCCAGCTGGCGAAATGAGCATTACCGTGACAGTTCAGATTCTCTAGAATCGGGCTTGGCGAGTCTTACGGACAAGGACGAATTGCTGGAGCATCGATCGGAGTCGCCGTCCTTGCTGGTGCAACAGGAGCCATGGCGGAAACGCCAGCTGGGTATCTGGTCGTGGAAAATGGAGGTGTACTCGCCGAACACGGCTGTGTTTCGACATCGACTACTCAGCCGTTGGTTGCATCGGTTTCCTTTCCTAGTCGAATGCTGGTATTGGGCGTTAGTATACTGGGTGAGTTGATGAGCTGAGGATCATATGTTAATGTTTTATGGAAACTGACGTCGACGGAACATGGCAGACATACCAGCTCGGACGAGCGTTCACTGCGGTCACTCTCAAGGAGGACACGGTAGAAGTTGCGCGGAGACATGCTCTTCAGCTGATCAGGATCGAGCGGACATTGGGGTTCTTCTGTGAACTTGAGATACAGCATTTCTTCATGCGCCATCCGCAGCTGATGGCTTGGACCAACTGGGTCTACTCCTTCATCCATATCCCCGGCACGATTGCCTTCTTGGTATGGCTGTATTACTACACCACGACACGGAATCGACTAGACGACCCCTTGGATCACCGATTGAACGCGTCTCTGGCACGTCCGTCCCTTTATGCAGCTCGCCGGCGAACCATGGCTGTTTGCAATCTGCTCTCATTTGTTGTCTTTACGGTCTGGCCTTGCATGCCACCTCGCCTTCTGAGCGACCAGAACGTCATGGATGTGATCGGCGATCTGCCCGGAGGCTATGGCTTTGTCGATACCGTGCACGGCGTCTCCGGAGCCGTCAGTGTCTGGACGAGGAACCGGTTTTGCAATCAATATGGTGAGTGAAAGAGATAGCCATCAATACCGAGTCCCCGATGCTGGTAGAGTCACTAGCTAACTTGCGGACAGCCGCCATGCCGTCGCTGCATTTTGGCTACTCGTTGATGATCGGGCTCACCATCGTGACGATTCCCCTTCCTCCCAAACATGGCCAATCCATATCGAACCGAGTTTCTATCTCCCCCCGCTTGAGTCTCAGGTTTCCCCTCCCTTCGTGGCGCCGTCTTGTCTGCGTTGTCATCGGCCTTGCTTACCCCCTGGTGATTCTGGCTGCTATCATCGCGACTGCCAACCACTTTATCCTGGATGCGGTCGCAGGGGCCATCGTCTGCTTCTTGGGCTGGTGGGGAAACGGCGTGCTGTTGAACCTGCTGCCCCTCGAGGACTGCTTCCTCTGGGCATGCCGTATTCACAAGCCTGAACGGCCGATTGTGGACGTCTATGAGCCCGTGGAGGACCCGGATGGCAAGGACATGCCCATCCGATGAGCTTCCACTCGTTGTCGACGATGTCTCTTGAAGCTTTCCTTTGTCGCGCGCTGCTGTCTATATTCTCCTGGATGACTCTCGATTTGCCGCATCTTCACGAACTCCCTCCCTCCTCATGCTCATATCGTCTTCTCCTTCTCTTGATGGACGACTTCGCCCTCTGCAACTTCTGTTCACATGTGTACATACGGACATAAGCTCACTGCATATTCTCATTGCTGTAAGACCGGCCGACTTGCCGAGAGCAGACCTGCATCCAGTCAGCGTAGGCATAGAGGACAGTGCGTGGTCGGCAGCCCAGCCGGCCTCTCCGTCTCCCTCCGTAGAGCATTCTTCTCCACCGCCTCTGTAGCCGTCGTATAACCCGCCCAACACCCTCGCGTGGTGGTCCAACCCTCCTCCCACTCGCCGCATTATTTCCACCAGCCACCGCAGAACCCAACCATCCGGTGCTGCTCGACGCTCGACCCTGTGTGCAACGGACGGCCCTGGGCAATCCCAATCCCGTCGCAGCTCACTCTCTGCGTCTCTGCTGTGCTGTCACATCGTCTGCACTCCGCACACCATCGATTTCTCGCCCAGCTTCACCTCCCCATCTCTGATTTTCCTGCTCTCCTCCACTGGGCCTTCATCCGGAGACCCTCCATCCCAGCAGCGATCCCCTCTGCCTGCGTTGTCGCCCGTAGGCACGCGGCGTGCTGCGCTGAGGCTGTATCGGGCTTTGGCGCGGTCTGAGTGCTCTCGTCATCCGCGGGCGGACCTCGTGCTTCCTCCATCATCCGGACGCGAGCCTGCTGGCCTCTATTGCATCTGCGTCCCTCCCAGAGTCGTGTTTTCGTCTCTGGATAGAAGGATCCATTCCCAGGAATCCTAGCTGCTCCATCTCCTGGCTCACGAGCGCTGGTTGGGCCCCTTCCAGCAACGTCGCCCTTTTTTTTTGCCTGGCATCGGCCTCTCTACGCAGCAGAAACACCAGATCGCGCGTTTTGCAGAGACAGCCGGTATACGGCGTGCTGAGCGTGCTGTGTGCTGGCTCATCGTCGTTGCGTCATTCGCTGGTGGTGGGCGGCAGCGCTGCTCCTTTCATCCACACACGCGTTGCGTCGACGAACTCCCGCCACGCCCGTCTTTCGCGACCTTCTCCACTAGACCATCTCTCTTCTTCCTCCCCCCATTGAAAAGCCGCGGCCTCTCCCTTCCCATCGGGATCTCATCCACCTCTGTTCTCCTCATCTGATTCCCGCCGCGCATCATGTCTGAAGAAGCTCCAGTCGCTCCAGCCGTCGCTGCCGACGCGGGAGACTCGGTCGCTGGGCGCGCTTCCTCCGCTGAGCCCAAGCCCGACGCTCCGGAGTCCGCGTCTCGTCCTGACAACGAGCCTGAGAAGGCTCCTGAAGGCGACGACAAGCCTGCCGGTAAGGCGATGCCTCCCCTCATCCTGGAAGTTCCCTGTGATGTCGCGTCTGCTGACCTCCTGCGTAGAAGAGAGCGCCGCGTCCGAATCAGCAGAGACGAAGCCGGCCGACACAACGGCGCCCGCTGAATCTGCCGATGCGAACGGCAAGGAGGACGGCGATGCTGCTGCTGCTGAGGCAGAAACCGTCGAGGCCAACGGCACGCGAACGCCCGCTTCGGCCAAGAAGGCGAGTGCGAAGCGCAAGTCTACAGGTGGCGCGTCCGCAAGAAAGAGGAAGTCGCAACAACGTGTCACACATCTGGACGCGAAGCCCGGAGAGTATTACCTCGCGCGTCTGAAGAGCTTTCCGCCATGGCCAGCCATCATCTGTGACGAGGAGATGCTGCCGCAGAGCCTACTGAACACGCGTCCGGTTACTACGAAGCAAGCCGATGGCACGTACAAGGAGCCGTACGCCGATGGTGGCAAGCGAGTCTACGAGAGGACCTTCCCGATCATGTTCCTGGAAACCAACGAATTGTGAGTAATATCTACACGTTGGCAAGTTTCTCTTTCATATAACAAAGATGCTGACGTGTCCATGTCATCCAGCGCGTGGATCCCCAATACGGACCTCACTCCCTTGGACCCGGAGTCCTGCAAGAACGTGCCTGAGAAGGGGAAGGGCAAGACTCTGCTTGCTGCATACAGGGTTGCTGCAGAGAACCACGATCTCCAGTACTTCAAGGACCTGCTGGCCGAGCACCAGCGTGCCGTGCAACAGGAGGCTGAGGAGCGAGAGGCCAAGGCGGCAGCGAAAGCCGCAGCCAAGGCGCAGAAGGAGGAAAAGAAGAAGAGGCGGAAGAGCGCAACGGCCGCCGAAGAGGCGGAGGATATCGAGATGGACGAGGCCGATCAGGAGGACCATGAGAAGCCCAAGAGCGCCAGAAAGCGGAAGAAGGATGCTGAGAGTGATGTAGAGGAAGAAAAGGTGAGTAGAGTGACGTGTAGACTTGGCTTGTGCCGTAGACTCTGGTTCAAGCGCTGACCTGGACTCATATAGCCGAGCAAGACGCCCAAGACCACCACCAAGTTGAAACTCACCACCCCTAAGACTCCTACGGAAACCGGCAAGAAGGCGGCTACTTCTGCAAAGACTGGCAAACAAAAGAAGGCCGGCAAGGAGGAAGAGGCCGCTGTCGAGACTCCCAAGGAGCCGCCGAAGCAGATTGATCCTCAGGAGGCCAAGGCGAAGAAGGAGAAAGAGAGTATGTCTCTCTCCACAGGTCCCTGTTCCCCATTGGTAGGCGTTTGGTCTAACCTATCCATAGTTCTCTTCATCCGTCACAAGCTCCAGAAGGGGTTCCTCTCGCGAGATCAGGCGCCCAAGGAAGAGGAAATGGCGGCCATGTCGAACTACATTGCCAAGTTGGAAACGCAAACCGACCTGGAAGTCTCCATTATCCGCGCGACCAAGATCAACAAGGTGCTCAAGGCGATTATCAAGTTGAATTCGATCCCGAAGGACGAAGAGTACCAGTTCCGACGCCGGTCCATTGACATCCTCTCCAAGTGGAAGAATCTGCTGGAGTCGGACGTTGCCGCTGCGGGTGCGGAGGAAGCGGCCAAGGAGACGAAACCCAAGACCAATGGAGTCCACAAGGAGGAGGAGGGCGCCGAAGCCGAAAAGGCCGACAAGGCGGATGCCCAGGAGACCGAGGAAAAACCAGTGGAAAAACCAGAGGGAAAACAGGAGGAAACCCCCGCAAAGGAAGAAGAGAAAGAGGCGGGAGAGTCCAAAGATGAGCCGATGCCTGACGCCGAAACTGAGGAAAAGGCGCAGGCTCCGGAGCCGGCCAAGGAGGAAGAGTCCCCGGCGGCAGATAGTGAGAAGCCTGAGAAGCCAACTGAGGAAAAGCCAGCTGAGGAAACGACTGCATGAACTCTGTTCTCGTCGACACTTTCGCCGTGGTCTTTTTCTACCCAGCAGGTGTTGTGCTTAGTTCCGCTTAGTTCTGCTTAGGGTTGTGGTTTTTTTTTATTCCATGTCTGCAGCTGTTTCTCCGAGTCTCTTCTCCGTTTGGGTTTGAGCAGTTGAGGCGGCAAAGAAAAGCCTTGTTTGGTTTGTTTTTTTTCTTTTTTGGTTCTTACTCCGTGTAAATCTATGGTTGTTTTCTCGTTGTTTAATTGTCATGCCTGTTTCTTTTTACCCCAAGGAATGGTCTCTCATTTTTGCGATGGAGGATGAACGTTCAGTTCGGGAGGGATGATTCCTGGCGGTACAGAAAGAAAAGAGATGAAGTCGCCGGCCTGTCTGACAAAGAAATTACTCACTCGGAACAATGTTCTCTTTCGTCGGCAGGCCAGATTGTTGTGAATCATCAGATCAGGGTGGGATTTTTGTGCTCTGCCCCGTTGACGACTACTTATCATGTACTTCGACAGAATGT